AACCCCAGCACTTCAGTGTTTGTCATTTTCGGACTCCTACAGCTAAATAGATGCTAACAACATCAGAAATGTTCAGAAATGTGTATTCAAGTAACCTAATTGGACTCTGAAATTCTGCGAGTGAGGTGTGTTGAGTGTCTGCTTTTTGTTCCCATGAATGTTTGCTCAAAGCAAACAGACTAATGTACTGTGTATCTGCATGTTTAAATCAAAAGGCACCGGCTGAGTTGCAAGAACTCATATTTAAAACAGCTCAGTGGCTTTTTCAAACATTCTCTCTTGTCATTATAGCGTTGCGATTGAGCTGATATTGTAGTCTTACGACCTTTGAATGGTATTCAACGGTACAGTGCACACTGCAGCATTCTCACACTTCCTTGTTTCAAACACAAGTATAAAACCTGCGTTTACGATGTCACTTAGCTTTAAAATTGGGTTTTAGCTGAAGACAGGCCTATTGCATAGTCAGTAAGTCAGCTAGGGCTGAGCAAATGAGGAAGCCAGCAGTATTCCTATAAACTGACATATCAGAAACAAAACAGTGCACACACGCATACCACACACACACATGTAAATTCCCGAGATAAAAGCAGCAGGACTCAGCACGGTTTCATAAACTGAAAGCTTCCTTCTGAGTTATGACCTCTTGCAGCGCTGTGCTGTGTGGGACGACACATTCCAGTAACTGAGTGCTAGGCCATAAATGTGGACAGGTTTGGAGTGAGTGAGTATGTGCGTGTTTGTGCACCAGCTGCTGCATACACAAAAGCCCTAGATGGAGTCTACCTGTTGTAAGAGTGTTTTATGAGAACACTGTCCACTTTGATACACTCCAGCTGCAGCAAGTGTTTCAGAGAGGGCTGCTGGTTTGAGGAGAGGCCTGGGGTGAATTGGCCCTATGCCTTAGTCGGCGAATGACAGGGCAGTATTGTGGCAAAAGACCAAAGCAGCATGTTTGTCGAGCAGTAGGCTAATATATCTAAAGCCTATGTTTTTTTTGTTTTTTTAAAATGGCAGGTTAAGTGTCATAAAATGATTTAATCCTTCTTTACACAGAGAGCTTTAAGGGGCCTTGTATAAATGTGCTTTTAGCTGTGCTCTATGAAACAAGTAAAATCAAGGGTGGGGAAAGGGGGAGACTTGCTGTCAACCCTGCGCAGGAATTTCATTCATTTCAAACATCATCCCCAGGCTCTAATTACTTCTCTGGGCCAACTTAAAGCCACCCCCCTCTTTTGGATGTCTTAAGCTTCTGAGGAGGGCAAACAAACCCCAGGTCTCACCTGTGGACAACTGGACAACTATTTGAGGTTTAAAACTAGTAACACTGGTAACTAAATTATCCCTTCCTGTACAGGCTCATCTCATATGTCTATAGGAACTACAGGAAATATGATTAATATTCAGCCAGAGCAGTTGGCCCCTGACATTGTGTCCGTTAGTGTGTTGATGTGTGGAGCCACATTCTCACGCCCGATTGCACTCGACACTGCGGCACAAAAACAGAATGGTCATGTGATAAGAGGGGCCCCTTACAGAGAGAGACAGACGGGCAGGGAAAGAGGGAGAGTGTGTATGTTTAAATGAAGACAGGATGTAAGGTTTGGCTCCAGTATATTTACTAAATAATACACATCCTTGCTTAATAACAAACAGCACCGTGCTTTCCAGCTCATTCATGCTAATTTCTGAGAAAACCTAACTTTTGGCAATGTAAGGGTTAAAGTTTGTGTGAAAGGTTGTGAAACACCAGGCTCAGAGTCTGAACGGCTCCTTCAGCATTCTTACCACATCCTGAAACGACGTCAATCCGATGGCACTGAGCAGAAAAAACCCTTATCGGTTCAGTTAAAATCAACACAGTAACTCCCTCAGAAAGAAGCACTGTTGTGTATTCCTTATCAGACTCTGCACAGAAACATCCATATTGTGGATGAAACAAGCAGCGCTGTCTTCCACCCTTACGCACATCATCTCCTGCGCCTAAAGATCTAAAATGAGAAGGAGTCGATCTAGGGTCAGTGACTAACGTACACTTGATGGTATCTCTGACTGTGATATGACAGACTGATGACAACAGATCAGTGTTTCCGGTCTAAGCTGCTTTCCTCCCATTATGGCCTAAAGTCATGTGACTACTCAGACCACATCAATATCACGCATCTGTTTATTGATTCTTGTATCTCTGCTGGATTTTTTTTTCTTTTTGAAAAAGTTTTCAATTACACAGCCTCATCAGAATGATGCGACTGTGTGTGAGTGTGTGTTAGTTAAGTATCAAATCATGACAGCACACATCCTTGCAGTGGCTGAGATGTGTGCAGTAATGCCAAACAACCTTTATGCTGCAAATATATGTGTGACTTTATGGGAACCACAAAACTCTTTGCTATGTTCTACTCTTGTTTTGTACTCCTGGTCTTTTAGTTCTGCATGAACCTCATCTCAGTGCTGTGTTTGCCCTTCACTCCAGAGAAGCCAGAGGGTACCAACACGCATCACTACATACAAGCAACATGCAAATCATCTTCCACTTCACTTTTGGGAATTAATCAACAATCAGCCAACATGTTTTGTAATAAAAACAATTGCAGCATTGTAATAGATAAATGAGCCCATTTATTTATTGCCTTTGCCGTTTTCAACGCCTCTTCAACAGCATATTCACACCCAATCATAAGCATTCCATGACCACAGAGTGACATATTCTTCTGAGACTCTATCACGTCCTCAACTCTACTCTTTCGTCCTCTGTTTACAAGAGGAAATGTCTTCATCTGCGGAGGAAGGGGAGGAGGGGGGTAAAGGAAAAAGAGAAAGAAAGAGGGGAGCTTGTGAGTGAGCAGAACAAGATAGCCAGGGAAAGAAAAGAGACTGAGACTCTGGCCATCTGTGAGTCTGGCAGCAAGCCAAACCACTGCCCACAGAGCCCAGGCACATGCCTAACTGCCTCTTTCTGCAATGGTAGTCCAGCCCTGCTTCCACAAACAACAGGCCTGTGGAACCACACACAAAAACACAGCAGCCACCAAGGACAAATGCACCCTTATGGTCATAAATAGGGCCCGAAACACAATATTTGTAGAAGTGTAATTGCTCCGTGACAAAGGCTGAGTGACATTGCCGTATGCGTGCATGTATGTTAACCCAGTTCTGCCAATGTTGAGGGAGAAAAAAAAAAGACAAACGACAATGTCAGCATGTCTTTATGTTGAATTAATGAACCCCTCGCTGTTGCTGGCTTTTTTTTCTTTTTTTTTCTTTTTTTTTTTACATAAAGCCTTAAAGTCTTTGTAAACCTTATGCGTTTAAATAATGTCTCCACAAATATTACATACATCATAACTGTTTCACTGATAGCTCGATTAACACTACAGAGTGCACTGCTTTTAGGAAATTAACCTTTTTTTCACAGTAACAGCACATTTCACACCTGCCGATTGAAAATGAACTCTGGCCCAACTGAGATATCAACTGGTGAACCTGAACACGAGACACAATAGCCTTACACGTGTGTTTGTATGCAGAGAATAAGCAACGTAGCATTATGCCAAGATGGATTTTCTCCATCTTAGCATTAAGTCTCCGAAAGCCAGGAATCCCTCACTTGCCCTGCAAAGGCCAACAGTATATTTTTATAATTCTTCCTAACTAAGGCACATAGTGATGACAGTGTGACAGGATAATGATTGCAAGTATGGAGTGAATGGATGGATGGATGGCTGAACTGATGGTCAAAAAAGTCATGTCCAACCAATTTATCCAAGATTTAATGGCATCTCTTGAAAACACTGATAACCCAGTGAAAAAAAAAACCCACTGAGGGGGACATACATTGGGGGCCTTTGATAGCCAAGGCAATGCTATGCTATGGAAGGCTATGCATTAGTCTTTGAAAAAGCTGCCTGTGATGGTGTGGTAGGTTCAAAGCAGACACACATGGGTGGTTATGTGGAGCAGGGTCCCGCACAAAGCACTAATGGACAGCCCATTGAAGAGGTCGCTAACACAGTCAAAGACGGTGACTTAATACTTAGTTAATGTGTTTGGAGATGCCATGCAATGCTGTGAGAGTTTGTTCATGAACAACTGGCGGGATGTGACCCAAAGAGATGAGAACACATTGTGCTGCTTTTATGCAAAACTACTGAAGCAATAGTAAGGTTGTTATTTCATTTTAAAAACTGTACCACTGTGGGGAAGGAGTTCATTGACTCATGACTTGATGTGCAACTTTTCTCTGAGCTATAGTTGCAGGCACACGTGTGTTACAGTTAGTTGAGCAAGTGTACTTGACAACGGCATAATGGATGGTTCATCTTCTGAGACACAAGCTCATACACAACAGTGTCTCAATGCTTGGCTTATGCATTTGGGATGCATTTTACTGGCGTGACAGTTTTTCTGTGTACATGAAAGTCAAGCAAAACCTGAGCCCACAACATGAAGACTGTTATTGTGGCCTACCTGTTCTTTTCTGTCACCACAGAGAAAAAATATAGACAAAGGCTTACCATAGGCACATTTTCAAAAGTTCAAGACTATGAGAAAGCAGGAAGTTGAAGTATGACTCAATGATTTATGTTTCTTCTGTCAATGTGTCAAGGGATGTTAACATAAACATGAGTGTGGCACGTTCCTTCTGACATATGTAGCAAGTCCCAGGAGTACTGTTGGCTAAAGTGTAAGCCAAGAGGGCCTTTATCTGTAGGCAACATGCACAAATGCAAACTGGTTTTAAGAGATGGCTACTTGGTGCGTGCTTTAGGTCTAAGAGATAAGAAAATGTTGCGTGCATCTGTGCAAGTGAGTGTTCACTGTGTGTGTTAGGGCCTAGATATCCAACAACCACCTGCAAGATTCCTGTGGATTATTGATATATTTGTTAAAAAGGTGCCGGTTTTGAGGCCTGTGCCATTCCCAGAGTCAAACCCACTGTGACTAAATGATACACAAATTACGATAAGTTGAGTTATTTTTCTTTCTTTTTTTTTTTTTACCTGTGACAGCTGTCTTGGATCAGGAGCCCCGAAGAGAGAAGAGCTGGAGCTGAAACTAATGGCTCCCCTCCGGCTGAGGACATGCTTGGGAACCGGCCTGTCTAGAGGCAAAACCGGCAGCTGATAACATACTTCCATTGAATAGTCGGGGCTGGATCCGGATCAAAAATATTTAGAAAAAAAAAAAAAAAAAAAAAAAAAAAAAAAAAAAAATCAAATATATAATGAAAAAGATAACAAATGCAATGCGAAAATAGATGTCTGGTGAATTAGAAAATCTCCCCAAGCCGAAAAAATCTTTCAATATTGTGGTAACGATCTGCTATCGAGCTGCAAAGTATTTCTGTTCATTATGAGCGACTCAAAACTTGCCCAGATCGCCTTCATTGATGCTGCGTCTTCTCTACCTCCACCGTTTCACCTCCTTTGGTGTCATTCTGTAGGAAAATTTTCATGCTGCTGTTGCATTTGCTCCTTTCCTTCTCATTTTACTCAAATCCAGGCCCACGGACAACGAGACCTTCTTGCCATTTTCTGGGTCTTTATGAAAACGCTTCCTCATTTTCAAACCAGAAAAAAACGTCCGCTCATTTGCGTTTCGTGGCGTTTACAGATCCGCATATCACATATCCCGAAATGAAAACAAAAGGCACGACCACTTCCAAAAATGTCATCAACATATCATATTGTATGCAACACCGGTGGATGAAGTGAGGCAGCTCCAAGATGTTAGACCTTGTCAGCCGTAGCCGGGAGGTTTTCTCTTATTCAGACTGAAACCGTTGGCGAAATATAATCAAAATGTAGACCTTTTCCGTCTTTTTTCAGAAGCTGCATGATGAAGGAGCAGTTGTCTAATTCACCGCTGACCGTAAAGCAGAAAGTGTCTGGCTCAGAGAGGGGAACCCCGACGTTCATCTCATTCACTGCGATTCCGGTGGGTTTAAAGGACACGTAATGGCACGTTACGCAAAACTATCAACCGAAAAACGACAAATTAACAACCTAAAGTGTGTATTTTTCTCTACAACTACCTACCTATCGTCCTAAACATTAGCCTACTGTATGGTTTAAAAACGCACACACCACCTGCCAGAGATGGTGCTGTTGGAGCGAGTAAAAAACGCCCTTGTCTAAGCTCGACCAATGGCGCCGAGGCAGGTATAGTAACCTGAACGCTGATTGGACAACTTTGCTTACGAGGTATATAACGACTTTAAGGATTAGCTATGCGGTCAGGGCGATCCCAAGACCTATATGAGCAGTCGTTTGCAGACGGCGTGGACTTTCTCAAGGGTATTCCTCAACAACGGGGCTTGCCCTGCAGCGGTCCACATCATTGCCTGTGATTACCTTCCTCTCATGACTCATACTACTTGGGAGCTGAGACTCACCGGGAGTTTGAAATACAGCCTAGGAAATACAGCAAAATGTTGTAGTTCTGTTAGGCTGAGACAATTTGCTCCATATGACTATGTGTGGTGACTCAAGACACATGCACTTTACATTGTAAAGTAGACAAGAGTTTCGCATTTTATTGCCTGCATGTACTGTTTGGTTTTATCTGTTTGCACCAAAATGCATCTGAGATACTGGCCTATTGATTTTTTTTGCATGATAAGGTGTTGCTGATCTCATACTGCAGCTGAGTGAATCAAATAAATCTCAGAGAAAAACATACAGCATTTAGGCACTAGAACATGAACATTTTCACTGGAGGTTTCTGTGCCATACCCATGTGCTGGGGGACAATAGATGCCATGGCAACAGTCAGGCTCAGTGCCAGTGGAGGCATAATCCCCCCCCTTCCCATTTCCATGGGTCTGAAAGTAGTTCCCCACAATCATACCCCCCACAAAGAGGTCCTGCATCTTTTCCAGGCAACTAAGGCAACACTGAAAAACATAACACAACAACAAATGTGTCCTTAGATATTGGTGCGGGTGGAAAGAGAACTAGAATGTTAAACTGAACTAGAGGTTTACAGTAATTTGACTTAGGTGAAGTGATTGTCTTTGAAACCACAACAGCAGCTGTTTTGACTGAGCAAAACATAACAGTTATAGTATGTTCATCTAAAAAGCAACTGTAGTACTCTGATTGAAAGCATGTCACAACTCATGCCCTACCACACAAACTCTCATCAGTTCACCAGTACCTGCCAAGTACTGAAGTGAACATATTCAACAGATTTTTTGAGAATTTATTTAGAGGGAACAGAGGATCAAACTTGTATTTAATATCTTCTTAAATTAGCAATAACTGAAGCTCTCAGCAACTTTTTTCTTTGCAAACTTGAGTAGAATGCTTAATAAGAAATAGTGTAAGTAATATTGTACAAGTTGAACGATTTAAAAGCTTCTCTATGACTGTAATTTTAATTAATTACTTTCCACCCTGGATGGTGGTACTTGTGGCTGCAAATACACTCTAAACCTTTTAATTTGATGTTAACTGCTATTTTTCCTCAAGTGTTAGTGTAAATGACTAACATGTCACATCTTGACTTTTAAAGGTATTTGCTCCAAACAGAACAGAGGTCAACCACACATGGGTGGTACTGTTTTTGTATTCACAGTTTATAAACCTGTTGTTGCCAGACAACTCTGAAACTGCTTCATCTGGTATATGACTACGTCAATAGCATGTCACATGTGTGCACACAGGACAGCACATATTTTACACTCACTCCTCTAAGTGTACATGTGGGAAAAGGATTTGGGAAGCATTTGTGTTAATTAATTTCTTCCGGAGCCCCTTTTTTTTTTGCCACATTCACACATACATGCAAACTAACACACACAATGCACAGACACACCTTTCTTAGTATGGCAGATGTGTTTAACTACTCTAGCATCAGCCTCAGGAGCTTTGATAAAACAGGTGAGCTGCATACCTGCTGATTCCCCTTGAGGTCACAGGTACTGTATCTGCTTGTGAGGCCCCTAATGCTCCACTCCCCCTTGACTCTAGTCTTGTTGAGAGCTCTCTAGAGGCAGATTGCAATCTGCATTGGTGTCCCTAATTGATTTACCTGTTACCCTCTGACGACACTGTGAGCATCAGTGGAGTTATTAGCTAGTGCTTCATTGCCAGCGCAGCAGTTTTACACCTTTAGTGCTCTCTGACAGATTCTATACGTGCATCTGTAAACACACACACCACCACACATTAACACACAAATACATGTTTGCACACATTCCTGATTTCTGATTTTTCTTAAATTGTATGTGACATAACTGCACATCCTCTTTAAATGTTTCTTGACAAATTAATTGCATTTTCATCCCAATTATTAACTAAATTTGCGGTTATAGTTAACAGTTATCTTACTTATATCAAAATGTCTAACTGTAATCGTCAGGATGGACTGAAAGAAAGAAACAGCGTTTTTATACTGCAGTATACTCTTGTATTAGATGCCATTACAAACACATAAAGATGTATCGTTGTGTGTATGTAGAGCCATCTTGTGGTGAAAAAGAGCCCTTACGAAGACGGCGTGGAGCAAAAATTAATTAAAAAAATAATGAGGCTAATAACAGTGTATCTCAAGTTTATTTTAAAACAGTAGGGTTTTAGTTTGGTTTCTAATCAGATGGTATTAACTGTGCAGTAATAAACTCATATTAGGTTTTCTATTTGGCTTATATTCTCCAATGTACTGACAACTACACTATATAATGCCTCCCACATACAAACATGTCTCAAACCTGAAACATCATCTTTGTGCAACGCTTGCAGTTTAATCAAAGGTTTTCTATATTTAGATATGTGCAAGAGGTAAAAGTATGTGGTGCTAGTGTAAAATAAGTCCAGAAGTGTTAAACATAATGACAGAGTCCTACATAGCACCAATGTGTGAAAACGTAATTAGTTATTTATGTATCACTGAAGTGACAAACCTCATTTCCATCCACATTATTCATACTTACTGAGAAGAGTATGAATCATAAGATCTAACTGCAGCAGCATAACCCCAAGTACAATGTAAGCCCTGTTTGGTGACGACTGCAATGATGTCAGTAGGCAATAGTGCATCTACTGGACATAACCTGCCCTCTTTCTACCACTAGATAGCACCCTTTTACTGTGTTAAAGGTGAGTGGGCTTTGCAATCACACCTTTGTAGTGGCTTCAGTATGATGCTCTTTTAATCAGCATTTAAATTCAGACTGTTTATCGATTGGCATTGTTTCTCTCAAAAACATTTTGATGAATAGAAAAAAAATTAAAAATATATGAAAAATAATGGTAGCAGAAACAACAACAGAATTCAATCGTCCAAAGTTTCATGTTGTGTAATAGTGAAGCTTGTTATTTAAACTAGTCATCTCGCACTAGGGCTATCCAAGAAAGGCATAAAATGACCAAAAAATGTAAAACAAATACATAAAAAATAAGTTGGCAATACAGCTTGTATGGATTTCTTTGTTGAGAATAGGTAAGTTCATTATGTTACCAAGATACAACCACCTACCACTTGTTGAGACACCTGATCCAGATTTAAACGATGAGTAATTGGCCAATCCCAGAGGGTGTGTGTTTTGTCACAGATAATACGCTGTGTACTGTGTACCCAATTTACAGACTAAATCACAAAATCTGTGGGAATTACTATCTTAAGTCACACTATCTCTGCATCAAAGAAAACTTTATCCCACTTTATCCTACACCTTTCCAAGTCTCTTTCTTAGGATCTTAGTCTACAAGTTAAAAGAAACAATTCAGAGACAAGGCTACACACCATTGTACAACTGTCTTTCAAATAACTTGATAATGATAATGCCTGCATTCTGCATGTCTACTGTACCCTTAGTGTAACCTGCTTAATGCAGGCAGACTCTTGTGTAAACACCCAGCTGCTGGATGATGAAATCACCATGCTTCACTACACGGTGAATTAAAGTGTTTGAGATGAGACAATGTGGACTGCTCTCCACATGGTGCAGAGGGTGTGATGTTTGAGCCAGGCTGAGAGAAGCACTTGAATGCTGAGCACATCTCAGCTTCCCATGACCACGAGCTGCAGTGGTGCCTGTTAAAACAGACTGACGTCTCTTTTACGTCATTGTATGGGAGAGGATGTTACATAAAACTCCATATGGAAATCTGACTGTTTGACCTCATCTTTCTTATGTCAAATATGACATTCAACAAAAGTGTGATGGTTAAA